ACTCTTCTTCATTTAACGTAACAACTATACAGTTTAGTTGTTTAATAGACTCCTGCACATATTTTATTTCTTCTGTTACATCTGTTGTTTCTTTCACTAATCTAAATCGAATTGGCCGGCAAAATTTTGACGAAGAAGGGGTTGGATTTTGCTATATAATTTTACTACCGTTTTTTCCACAAACAATGCGCAAAGGTACAAAGGAACTCATAAAAATGTTGGCATCTGAATCAGTATCATTGGCCCGTGTTGGTGAGTTGGTAATCTCTTTAAGCAATTTTGAGGCGGTCCTTTGTCCTGTTGTCTGCAAGACAGATTTAGCAGCGTGGACAATAACTTCATTACCTACGGAGGCTCTTATTTCTTCCGTCTTCCTTCGTTTACTACGCTCATTTAATTCCCCAAAAGACTTGGGTGGTCGACCTTGCGCGAAGACTGTTTCAATAGGAATTTCGAATGTTCCCTCTAACCACAATTGGTTTTTTTTTTCAGGAAAACACCTAGGTGTTTATTTAATTTTGCCTATCGTTGCTTAATTTGTGATTTTATATAGAATATTTTTGTTTGAAGACATCTTTAGCCTCTTGGTTTTGCCCATAACGCATTAGGAGAAAATTCTCATAATAGTCAAGTTTTTCATTTAATGTTGGTAAATGTTGACTTTGTAATTGGTCAAATATATATTAACGAGTCACTACTTTAGTACCCGATACAGTAGGTAGACCTGAAATAAATGAAAAACGAGTTTAATACAAAATAACGCAAACTCAATATTTTGAAATATTTGACATTAAGCATTTCAAAGAGGCTTAACTCAAAAAAGCGCGAATTTGCGCGGCTGTTTTTTATAAAATTACTTAGTTACATATGTCAAGTATTTATTATAATAAAAATTATGACAGGGACGGACTAAGAAGTACTTTAAAACAGTTATTGAATATAAATTGATGTATAAAAATACATTATGAACAAGGTGATGTTTGTCGTGTTCAAAATTAATGATAGATAATGTGAACTGAGTTATTGTGTTTTCAAAAACAATAGTTCTTACCTGTATTATCGCAATCCATTACAATTAAAACGAACCAATAAGCTTGAAATGAATAATGCACTTAAGAAAGTTATAAGTATAGAAGAGCGTCGAAAACTAACACGTACCAACTCGTTCACTGTCGAATTAGAATGACCGTAGAGGCCAGCTTCGGCGCTTCGTTCGTGGGTGGAGGGGATATTGTAGGTGGGACTGTTGACTCACTGAAACGGTTGATAGCTTACCGTTATTTCGACTTTTAAAAAATGACTTTTGGCCGCCTAAATATCTAAAATCTATGTATGTGCGACGCTATATTTGTATACTCCTTTTACCCTATGACGGCCGATATGTACCTAATTAAGATTTGATCAGTTGGCCTCAAACAGTGGGGCGTTAATATTTAATTCCGATCGCTTGAAAAGTAAAAATATTTAATTTCCTGTATTTTATGTTCAGTAATAATATTGGATTTTACTGTATTAAAGGCAAATAAAATGAATATAATATGTATATACAGGGCGTGTTAAAAGAAGTGGGACGGAATATTTCGAATACTCGAAATTATTTGTCGACATTAAATGTTCATTAAGGTCTCAATAAGTCTCTATTTTGCGTAGAGTGCAAGTTGCTGGTATGTCCAAATTTGAATAGACTTTACGTTCTGCAGACACTCTATTAAATATAACCTTGAAACAAATTGGCACTAAATCACTTCCGAGTTTTCAGTAAAATAAAATGTTTAAACACGTGTAGTCCAGTAATTCCATTCTCTAGTCCAATACCAAAGCTATTGCGAGTATGCAGTCCAGTAATTAGACCGTTACTTTATCGTTTAACTAAAACACACCACAAAGTCCGAATTGAATTCCCGAAACACTGTTTTGTTACTTCTTTTTAGCAAACGATTTGTCATATTCACTGTCTGATATTTCACTATCAGAGTCGTCACTATCTGAATTGTCTATCCGAATAGTTAGAAGAACTCATCTATAACTCACTCGGTTTGAAAAGACTGAACGATTATGTCTTCCGTATGTCTAATACAATTTTGCCATTGGTCTGCCTTTATTTGTTCTAGCGATTCTTTCTATAAACTAAGAACGCTAGCGTCATCTGTTGTTTTGAATGCATGTTTATCATAAACATTTTTGGCTGTACCCCAAACTAACTCAATTGCATTATAATGGCAATGGTAGGGCAGAAGTCGAAGAACTTCATGCCCATATTTACGAGATATTTGGTCAGTATCAAATTTCTTTTGAATTTTGTGCTCTCCACACCTTTGAAGTAAATAGACTTTTAAAAATATGTCACTGATAAATTTTCCTTTCTGTCAATCACAGCTTTATTTTTTCTTTTGTCCAGCTGCTTGAAGGAAATCTCTCTTCTATTCTTGAGTGGTAGGATGCATTATCCAAGACTATTATGGATAATCGCTCTAATTGTTTTGACAAATTTTCTTCAAACCATTCTTCAAAAATAGTTGCATCCATATTTCCATAGTAATCACCTGTATTCTTTGTGGACGAAAAAATTAAACTATCGTCAGGAATCATTTCCAGCATGAAGTATATTGTAGCGTTTACCATTACTGGAACGACTAGAAGAATATCATTTCGTCGTGCCATCTTGCCAGGATGATGTTGATATATTTCTTTTAGGCGAAAATTCAAGTTTCATCTAAAAATAAAACTTGCATCGGACTATCAGATGTTTTATTGTTTATGTATTTTCTTAAAAAATGCCACCGTTTTAAAACAACAGAGAGTTCACACAATACTTGTCTATTATTTGTCTTTTTATATCGAAAAAATAAATGTTTCAGCACTCTCCACAACCTTGTTAAACTAATATCACAGAGTTCCTTATCTTTTATTTTTTGTAACACAGCACTAACTGTTACATGTTCTTTGGCTTTATACGTATTATATATAATATTTTTAATTGCAATTTTAATTAACTGGTGCAAATCTAAAGTTTTTGGATGTCGACGATTTCTCTTGCTTACTTTATTTATTTCATCCTCACTCATGTTATTAATTCTTCGGAATGTGCTATCTGAGATACCACAAGCATCGCATGTGCGTTTCTGAACTGCCATAACAGATGTCAATGGACCCATATTATTTTTTTCCTAATTCAAATTACTTTCGACTAATAAATATTTTTTATAACTATCAATTCGTCCTAAAATCTTGATTATTTTTTTAATAAAAACCGCACGCCTTTGACTTTGACCGTCGATTTCCTTTCCCCTCAAACCCGCAAAGGTCTACATTGAAAATATTAGTCACTTTCTACAATTTTAGCACTATGCTGTATACTTGGTCGTCAGTGCCTTGTTTGTTAGAACAGGGAGTACCAGTCTGGAAAGTCCATTCTGGAAAGTGAATGAGGTTGAAAGTTGAATGGGAAAGACCATTACTTGAGCATCACTGCACTATTAACACCCGTCAATTAAGAGAATAGTTTCATTCGTTTTTGGTTTACTTTAAATAGTTCAAGGCCAAATCAAGGTCAAAATCTAGACGAGATCATTTGGTTTAATAATTTATTAATTTGTAATTTATTCGATACATAAAAACATTTATGTATTACGAGGTTTATTTAGTGTTGCATATACCGCTTAGAGTGCGCCACCAATAAAATCTTCCGACACAAATGTAACCTCAATCTTTGGTTAACATAAATCTAGAGTTTCATTGTGATACAAGTCGTGTAGATATAGTGAATTTTTGAAATTAGCAAGTCGATCGAGAAATGAATCTTAGTCGATAACATTTTTGACCAATAATTTTTTACAATCTTCTGAGAGATTATCCCAACATCAATGTCTTTCTGAAATGGTTTCTGTGTTTGGAAATGAAGCATCGCAGGTGTCAACTATTTCTCGCTGGTATTGCGAATTTCAACGTGGTTGCCCCAGTCTCAGTGACGAATCCATGCCAGATCCACCCAAAACAGCAGTCATACAGCAAAACATTGATGCGGTTCATCAGCTAATTAAGGATGACCGCCGTGTAACATACCGGGAGATAGAGGCATCTTTGGGCATTTCAAAGATCTCGATTCTAAAAATCCTACATGAAGAACTGAATGTTACGAAGTTGGTTTCCCGTTGGATACCTAATTAGCTCACAGAAAAGCAAAACGCGGTTCGCGTCAATTGTTGTCGAAAAACAGAGGAAGCTCAAAAAACTTTTACAGTATTGTTAGTGGTAATAAATTTTGGATTTGCTCCTACGAACCGGAAAATAAACGCCCATCCGCTGTGTGGGTGTTTCACGATAAAGAAAAACCAACAAAAGTGATTCGTTCTCGAAGTGTGTTAAAGAAGGTCATGTAGCCACAATTGCTTTAGAAGATCCTAGAACGGTTACTTCTGATTGGTATATAACCATTTATTTACCAGAAGTTGCACAGTTACACTGCCCAAAAAATAATAGAGTTTTTGGGGCTTAAAAACTTCGAATTGTTAAACCATCCACCTTATAGCCCCGACTTAAGTCCCAATGACTTCTTCACATTCCCAATGATTAAGGATTCAATGCGTGGGCAGCGATTCCAGTCGCCAGAAGAAGCCATCGATGCCTTTAAAACCACGATTTTGCAGGTATCAACTGAAGATTGGAATAACTGTTTTAGCAATTCGTTTGAAGGTATGCAAAAGTGTATCGATCGTGGTGGGACATATTTTGAAAAGCAATAAAGTACTTTAAGTCTATATATTTGTGTATTTATGGCTATATGTAAAACCAAAAATACATGTATTTTATTGAAATACAGTTATTATATCTACAATAAAGAGACTTCATTATTTTCTTGGATACCTTTGTAAAAAACTTATTTTTCTAGTTTTCTTAAATTTTTAATATAAACAAGGACGCTTGGAAACGTACTAAACTATCGGTGTCATTATTGTACATATTCTTTTTGTGATTATTAACATATTTTTGTTTCTTTACAGACGATGATCAACATGGCCATTTGTTGGTTCATTCTACTGGGTAGGGCAGTTCAAAAACTGGTCTTCGGAGAACTAAGGGTCTCCGAACAACAGCAGCTCAGAGACAAGTTCTGGAACTTCGTATTTTACAAGTTCATCTTCGTTTTCGGCATTATCAATGTCCAGTACATCGACGAAGTGCTTCTCTGGTGCTCATGGCTTTCTTTGCTCGGCTTTTTGCATTTGCTGTCACAGTTAAGCCAAGACAGATTTGAGTATGTAAGTATTCATTGGGCTATTTTAAGTATTTTTCCAACGTGAAGTTACAAATGTCGGGAATAAAGAAACAGATAAGTTGCCAGCTCAATTAAAGACATATTTTTCATAAAATCGATCATCGCGTACGAATGTTACCCTTCTGCGGCTTGATCCTGCCCTAGTGTACTTTTCGGTTTTATTAAACTGCTGAATTGCTATTTGAACACCTAATAACTCATCCACATTATTTAAGTATGACAAGCTTGAACTTAAGTCACTGTCCATCCAGCGTCTGATGTTAAAAGCTTTATTGTAATTAAATTAAAATACAACACTAAATCGTTAAGCAATAAGAGAGTTCTTCTTGTTTCTTCTTCCTCGTATACCATGTGCAAGGCTGCACGTCGGCGATCAAATACCAAATTCTTTTTTATGGTCGTAATGCGACCAGAACGACTGGAACACTGTTCGGTCTTTGTAAATATGGTAGCAGCGTCTGGTATTCCAGACCAATATCTTATATTTATTAACCAGGAATGTTTTTTTCCACCAGGTCTACGTTTTCCCACAATTTTTACTTGTAATATTAGTTTTAGTATCGAGTATCAGGATCTTCTCAGCAAATATCCGATGTAAGACATTTTAAGTATTTGTTTTACCCAGTTAACATAGAGATTTAAGGAAATTTAAAAACTATAATATTAAACGCAGCAGAAAGTAAAGAAAACTATACAACTTAACGCTGAGAAACAAGAAAATTAATTAGAGAGAAAAAAAGGAAGTACAAACAACAGATATATGAAGAAATGGAATAAAATAGGCAACAGTCAAATAGTTGAGCATTTTACAAATCACTGTCAAACGAAAAGAAAGGCTTCAGACCTAGATGCTTATCTGTACTCAAAAAAAATGATAAATTAATAATAAATGAAAAAGATCTGCTTCAAACATGGCAAGAATATTTGAAGTCTTTACTAAACATACACTAAGAGGAAGAACATGGAGAAAATATATATTTTGGGGTGGACCTACCGGTAGAGGACCCCTAAATTAAACATTAGACAGGTAGATTAAACATTGCAAGCAAGGAACAAATTGAAGAACGAAAAAGCTCCAGGCTCTGACAATATACTGGCTGAATTCCTTATAAAATCTTATCGAACGTCCTATTAAGTAGGCTGACACCGTTTTTAGAAAATTTCATGGGGGGATACCAAGCCGGCTTCAGACATCATAGATCGACATAGATCAGATCTTTACTCTAAGACAGCTACCTGAAAAAGGATGGGAATTCAATATAACTATCCATAGCCTCTTCCTAGATTTCCGACAACCGCACGACAGCCTTTGAATGGATCAGATATGGAATGCAATGGCAGAACTTTCAATTCCAAAAAAACTTATCCAGCTTGTTAAGTTATGTGTGAATAGCTGTAGATCCAGAGTATGGATGTACTCAGAATCTTTCGAAATAAGCTTTATTAGCTTGTGTATTTTTAACTGTTAAGAGACACAATAAATCCCGACCAATAAAAATAAAACGTGGGATAAGGCAAGGAGATACATTTTCACCGATATTATTCATATCGGCATTAGAGTATGCCTTTATGATGGTCAATTGGGATCACAGATGAATAATAATAAACGGCGAAAAGCTTAACCATCTCCGTTTCACAAATGAGATTGTCCTTATCACAGATAATTTAGAAGCCACAGATATGTTAAATGACTTTTCATGTTCAAAGGTGGGCCTCAAAATGAACTTGACTAAAACTAAGTTTATGACAAATATGGTCTCCAATTTAATTATTTAACTATTCAAGACAATTTGGTAGAACTGGTGCAGGAATATACGTATTTGGGTCATAAAATAAGAATCAGCAGGGATAACCTAACATGCGAAATCCAAAGACGAATTACTTTTGCGTGGGCAACCTTTAGAAAACTGCTAGACACACTTAGGGCCAACAAACCAATTAGCCTTGAAAGGAAAGTATTTGACCAATGCGTATTGCCGGTCATGACCTATAGGGCTGATGTTGGAACTGGGCAGGCCATGTAGCGTGAATGCACGACTCACGATGGACGAGCACAATTACAAATTGGAGGCCAAGAGCAGACAAACGTAGTATAGGAAGGCCACCTACAAGTTGGGCTGACGACATTAGGCGTATCACCAAAAATTGGTAACAAAGAGTACAAAATCGTTAAGAATGGAGGAGTTTAAGAATGAAAAATGAAGGCTGGATGATGACGATGATGGTGACTCCCTCTATACAGTATCATTGCCAACTTTTGCATTTGAATTGCCCATTACTATAATTTCTTGAGATTTTAATCATTACAGAATTTCCCGGATATGATCGTAAAGCTGCTCTTGTTGTTTAACAAACGTAAATTTCTGAAAAGAAAAATAAAATTACATTGTTTGTAAGAAATATTGCAAATAACAAAAATTAATAACTATTAAACAACGATTTCTCTAAATTTGTATATGATATATCGCAAGTCTTAATCGTAAGTAAACAAATGTCACAATAATTTTAAATTATAAAAAATTAATTTTAATTTTAAAAAAGGAAACAAATTGGATCCTAATAATTATCGGCCTATCAGCTTAACACCTATAGTATCTAATATAATTGAATCTATTATTGCCGAGACAATTTCTGATTTTCTGCAAAATGAACTGGTTATACCAGAACAGCAGCATGGTTTTGTCAAAGGACGTTCTACAATGACAAATCTTCTCTGGTGTGTCAATGAATGGTCAAGAGCATTAGAGAGAAAAGCCCTGGTAGACATTATCTACATCGATTTTACTAAAGCTTTTGATCGAGTTCTAAAGCGAAGACTATTACATAAATTGGAACACCTTGGTATCCGTGGTCAATTACTGAAATGCTTCGACGCGTTTTTAACAGATAGAAAGTTTTGTGTTAGAGTTGGGGACTCTTTCTCAGTTGAGAGAACGGTTTTAAATGGGGTACCTCAAGGATCCGTTTTGGGCCCACTTTTATTCATAGCATACTCAAGTGATCTACAATTTCATATTAAATGTAACAAAGCTTTCTATGGAGATAACACGAAGCTATTTTCCGATACCTCCGTAAATTTCCAGTTACTACAAGGTGACCTTGATTGCATATCGGAATGGTGCTCTACTTGGATGCTGCTTCTTAATGTGGACAAATGTGTAGTTCTTCACATGGGTAAAAATAATCCGTGTCTTCCTTACTTTATTAATGGGCGCGTATTAAAAACAGTGAAATCACATAATGATCTAGGTGTTGTAATTAATAACAATCTAAGTTGGTCGGAACATATTTTGCATATTTATAAAAAAGCTAACAGTAAATTATATCTACTAAATAAAACGTTTGCAAAAGTATCATTTATGAGCTCACTTCATCTGTATAAACTGTACATTCTTCCAGTTCTGGAATATTGCGGAACTGTTTGGTGTCCGGTATTAGTGCTCGATCGTAATGTTCTCGAAAACGTACAGCGGCAGTGTACTAGGATGTTTTTTGGGCGCTCAAGACCTACGTATACAGAAAGACTGAATATGGCCAATCTCACTACATTTGAACAACGTCGACTTTGAGGCGATTTAATTATTACGTTTCGGATAGTAAAATACAACTTTGAAAATGTGGGGGATATGTTTATACTAGATCAAAGACAATCGTCTTCGTGGCCACAAACTTAAGTTTAAAAAGAAAACTTTTTTAACAACAATTTTTTCTTTGCAATCGAGTGTTCTCGATATGGAATAGCATTCCGGCTGAGATCATAGTTGTTCCATCTGTCAATATTTTCAAAAATAAACTGGATGACCATTTGCTTCATAGTTGAACATTTAATTTGTACGAAACACTTGCTATTACCTATGTTTTTGTATATTTATTTAGTTAGTGCTTAATATGTAACTATTGTACTGTAACCGTTTAATTGCACATTATATAACATTGTAGTCATATGGGCATATGGGTTTTCCGACCCCTGTTCAAATTTATTGTAAAATAAAATAATAATAATAAAATAATTGGGGACATAAAATGGATCGAATTTTTTTCAGCTGAGTGTACATTAGTTACCATGTTTAAATTTTTAATATGTGCATGTATAAAATGTAATGTAAGTAGGTATAATCTTACACGGAATATATTTTGCAGTTGTCCTTCTCTCCCAGAACACCGTTTTGGAGCCACGTCAAGCTGATGGCTCTATTGGCTGCTATATTTGCCCTGTCGGGATTCATGTTTGTGGTGTCTATTTTCGTCGGATTCTTCGGCGGACTCAATACGTTCTTCTTTATGTTCTACGAGGTAAGTTGTTATAGTGTAATTACTTTATATTAAATTGTAGTTTTGGACACAACAAATATAATTACAAATTCGCCAAAATAAATAGTACTGATCGTAGCCCTTATATTTATTTATTTATTTATTTGTTTAAAACATATATTTAAAATGTGCATAATAGTAACGTAAATAAGCTTCATAATGATTATGCAAAGCAAAACATTACACCTCTATTGTAGATCGATTCAGGATATGTAATATTATATTGTAATTAGGGACACATTAAAAGACTACTATTTTTGGTTTTGTAAAAAAATGTTACAGAATATCGGCTGTCAAAGATGAAACATTACATTTCGTTTACAATTTGAGGTTTTTCTTAAAAAATGAGGTAAAATGACCCTTTGTACAGAAAAAGTAATTTGTACATTTTCATTTACGAAAATCGCAAACATACAATTTCTGCTTTTCAGTTACAGCTCTACACAATAAATAACACCATTTATTGCATAAATTGCACTTAATCCAAACCTCCTTCGCCTGCGATTTACTGAATAGTTCCGAGCAACATAATACAGACTGCGTCGTCTTCATCATCATCAAATCTCTTATTTTCTTTGTCTTGATCTTCTTGTCTGAAGAGGTGCCTAAGGTAGTGATATGGAGTTACAAAACTCCATATCACTTACAATCCTCCAGCGATGATGGAATTTCATTTCTTTTAACGCCACCTTTGTTTTCTGAAGCAACAACTTCCGGATTCGAAGCTGCAGTGAATAAAGTTTCATTTTCCGATAATCCATCTGGACTGTTTCCAAAAAGGCTGATATGATCTGAAGATTGTCCAATTGTTTCCCATTTCTGTGACACGAAACAAACAAGCATCTCTTTGTGGAGATGGAGTTCGTTCTTCATGGATGGGATCAACGGTTTCATTTTTCACTATAGGTCGACCAACTGTACAAGAAGAATTAAATATGTGAAATTTAGGAATATGTTCGGATTAAAGGGATCGATGCCAGTCTTATTGAATCCACCGAGTCCGTTGTAAAGTGTAGCAGCTCTTTGATACGATTTTTCAAACAAGCTAGCTATGTTATACCGAGATACTTCTTTTCCAGGGTTTCTTTAAGCCATAAAATAACTTCCCCTTTAAAATACGCCATTAGAGGTGAAAATACTGCTACTCTCAATGGCTGCATCTCGTGGGTGCAGTAGTACAGCAGTATAATGTCATTTTCTCTACAGTATTCTATATTTTCGACAGACTTGTGGATTGAATGACCATCAAGCAATAATAGGACCCTATTTTCAACTGAGCACTGTGTATATTGTTGAAAATGCTTTTAGAACAGAATGAAGGTGTCGGATTTCATACATTCAGATTCGTTTTAAAAAGAAAGTGTTCCATACGGGGCGCCTTGAAACAATGCCAAATAGTCGTTCTTCCATCTCTAAAACATACTTCTTTCAGTAAGTCTCCAATTCTTTGTGCAATATTGTAATGAATCTACCAAGGCTTTTCGAATAACCTGTTGCCTAAAAGAAAGTAACGATTATTTTCTGGCATCTCAGTTACGATTAAAGTAGTCTACTGTTAGTTCACTTGCCAAAACATTTTGATTTTTGGCCCTTCTTTTGAAGTAGTCAAGGGCAGATTATAAAGCCTGGCAGCTCTTTTAAAAGGCACGCTAGTAGAAATATTTTCCAAGGCAAGTCTCATTGAATTTGAATCCCATTAATGCCTTCTCGTCTTCCGAACATAAGTTCTAACCATTATTTCTAGACTTTTTTATTTATACTATGTATTTTAATATTGTAATATATGCAAAACTACTTTTTATCTTCTAATATGCAATTATGAGATCATATTGTGCGTAGATACTTATATATTATAATTTATTAAAATATTACTAAATTTGCCATTTTCTAATCGTTTATAACTTTTTTACGCAAAATTAATGACAGCCGAGCCGTACAACCAAATTAATTTGCGTCATAATTTTAAATATTAATGCTCTCAAATTATTAAATATTGTCATACATATATAAAGATTTCTCATGGCTTCCTGGCATTCTAGTTTATATTTATATTTTATTGCTGTTAAAATAACATAAAATTTACACACGTACTGAGTTTTTTCGGGGGGTTTAGTAGAAGTTGGCACCACGTGTTTAATGTACCTCATATACAAAGCGAAAACTCGGGTTTGTTCTGAAAAATATTTCCATGAAATTTTCATGAGATATCCCAAAATATGCTTCAAGAGGTCGCCCAGGCGAATCAAATGTTTTTACAATTTGTTTACAAATTGTAACAATTAATGTTTTCGGCCCGGATATATTTTTTAATGTTTTGGATCATTCTAAATTAAATAAGTTTCTACTTTTTACGTAAACTTGAACTCTCTACTCTTTTGAACTGAGAAAAACGCAAAATTACGAGTTTCACGGCTCAAAACACAAATAAAACATTATTTTTGAATTCACCAAGGACCTAAATGTAAGTTCAAACCTTGTTCTATCACTTACCGATAAGTATTTTGAGCATATTTTATTTTAAAACATTTTTATTTAATCGTAAATGAAGCGTTTATGACAGGACGGCCTCTCGGGCTACGCGTGTATAAGAGAAAGAAACAAGATCTAGGACACAAGTTTTTGCTTGTTTATATTCTCATTGTACAAATGAGCACCTGCCCTGCCATACGCACTTCATTATCAATTAAAAAACGGTGGTTTAATAGTAAACCCAGAAAAAGAACAAAACGAAGATGAAGAAATAATTCACCACACAGCAGAACAACTAGTTAAGCAACCAACATTGGAAGAAACGATAAACGTCATAAAACATCTAAAAACTAACAAAGCACCTGGCACCTGGCATAAATCAATCGACCGCTTATGGACACTAGAAGTCATCCCAGAAGATTGGAAAGTAGGAATCGTACTTCCTATGTACAAAGGGGGAGACAAACAACTCTGCAAAAATTATAGGGGCATACCAGTTTTAAATGTCGTCTACAAGATATTATCAGGAATTATATACAGCCGCCTGGAATCGTTTTCGGATGAGATGATTGTTGAATAACAATGTGGCTTCAGACCAAAGAGATCAACTATAGACCAAATACATATGTTAAGAGGTATACATGAAAAATGTGTTGAATATAACATGCCTATTTACAACTTGTATATCGATTTCAAACAGGCGTTTGATGGAGTAGATCGGCAAAAGATGTTAAAGCGACTATCTATGTTAGGGATACCCAATAAGTTGGGATATTTTGGGATATCTCATGAAAGTGATATGCAAAAAAATCTCATGGGACTATTTTTTCGAACGAGCTTGTCTATCAGCTAAACTTGTTTAGCTGAGATATTTAAGAGTTTCTGTTATCCTCTTTTTAGAACAGATACCTTGTTGAGTCATCTTACAGGGTTTCGATTTATATATATATATATATATATATATATATATATAATATATATATATATATATATATATATAATATTGTGCGAATTATCGGAATCATTGTGACATTTTTCAATATTCACAGTTAGCAACACTGTTCACATATTTACAACTGACCAAGCATTGAAAACATAACCTTACTTTTCTTCGCCTTTTGTTTGAGGGTGTTTTAGGACATTTCTTATTATTTTGAGTTGTTTTGTACTATTTTGTATTGTTTTCGATAATTAGTGAGTTTGTTTCATTTAATTCCATCAAGGATATTATGCCTAGGAAGCGTTATGCCCAGATTATCACGTTAAGTGAACACACTTCTATGTTACAAAGAGAAATCACAAGAACGTGTGGAGTGAGTAGGTGGTAATAAGATTTTGAAGCGTAAACACGAAACGGGATCAATGGATGTGAAAAGATTAGGAAAATGCGGAAGAAAGACAAACACAATACCAACAGATGAAAGATTTTTACTTCAAAAGAGCAAATTGGACCCAAGGAAAATAAGCCAAGAGCTGCAACAAGATCTAGCAGCATCAGGTGTAGTAATTCATAACTCGATTGTTCGGAAAAGGCTTTTGGAGAATGGTAGAAGGGCATTGCGTCCACAGAAAAAAACAGCTTCTAACTGAAAGAATGAAGAAACAAAGGCTATTGTGGGCCAAAAAATACTCTAATTGGATTGTAGACGACTGGAGAAAAGTCGTATTTACAGATGAAATTGACTTTATAGTTCAGGGACAGCGGTCGAAATTCGTCAGGAAGTCTGACAATGAAAACCTTACACCATCTTATATTGATCAAACCGTAAAACATCCAGTCAAAAAAATGTTTTGGGGATGTTTTTCATACATGGGGGTTGAATCTTTGGTACCAGTCGAGGCATGATGAATAGCCAAAAATACAAATCCATGTTGGAACAGCGTTTGGATATAGAACTCCAAAAATATCAGTCCCAAGGAGGAGCGATTTTCAACAGGACTATGTTCCCTGTCACAAGTAAAAGCAAATGATGAAATTTTTCAAAAATAAGAAGATTAACGTTTTAGATTGGCCCAGTAAAATGATAGAAGCGGTCATTCAGGTTTGGTTTCGAGATGAAAGGCTATCTGAGAACTGTCATAAGCTCGTAGAATCTATGTCAAAACAGGTAAAAGCATTAATTGCAGCCAAAGGGGGACATATTTCGTACTAAATGATGTAAAATTTACCTTTATAGTGGTAGTAAATTTTTCTAAATGAATTGTTTTTTCATTAAAACCGCCTATTATTGCATTAATTCGTACAGTACTGTATATATGTATGCGCCAGAATATACAGTACTGGTCTTTAATTATCGGGATGATAATATACTGGTATGTAAATGTTCAAAAAGTACTACAACGCTGTAGATGTGTACCATGAAACGTGTGTTCCCAGAATTGTTTTGCTACTAATTTCTTCAATTTATATTACGGAAATATTCATTATGTATAATTTGCAAAATTAGTAAAAATTAATTAGGTATTTAAACTGGTCGGAGTATACATTAAATTTTTTTACACTTATATTTAAG